GTGGAGATCCCCCTTCTCTCCCCTCCCTACCGGCTATATCCTTCCAGGCACTGTTCCCTGCATCTCTGTGCAAGAAGGAGTTAAACATACAGCTTCAGAATCAATGTCACATTCCCTGTCCTTCCATACCATATCTGGATGCAAATCAAGCCAAAAGGAAAGCAATTTTTAAGTGGTATGTATTATACTGCTCCCAGGCCTAGTATCTGTTTTCCAACATCACTCCTCTCAAGGGCTTATTCTAAATTCTGGGTCATTCCCCCAGAGTGGGTAGGGTTGAATAAGCTAGCCCCCTCCTCCCTTACCTTTCTCTGGCTTTTCCTCACTGTTCAGTGAGGGCTGGCTCCCAGGCATGACAGAGATGACCAGTAGGTTGTTTGCATTCTTGTTTTTCTGAGAGCTATCCGAATCATCTTTGCTATTGGCTGAATCACTCAGAGCTGAGAGAGAGGATGAAGAGGGGCTGTTTGATTCACTGGGTGTCTTCCTATCTTCTCCTGAAAAAAAAAGTCTGTTATTTAGGAAATGAAAACTCTAGAATAACAGCAATTAGGGGCATGGCAGTTAGGTGTCATGGCTACATCATCATTCAGGGAGCACAGGCTGAGGTTTCCAGTTCTCCCAGTGCACCTCCTGGGATTCCAGGTCCTAGTCACCCATGGTTATGGCACTTGTACTTGGAAGCCAGAGCAGGTATCATCTGACAGATGTTTATTGGGATCATAAAATAATTAAAATAAAAGATAATTATAGCTAAGATGTACTGAATATGTTACCCAGTTCTATGAATGATATCATGCTTCACATGCATTATCTCATTTTATCCTTTCAAAAATCTGATGAGGCATAGCTATCATCACCCCCATTTTACAGATGCAGGAAGGGAGGCAGAGTTAGGTTAACTTGGCTAAGGTCACATGGCTAGGAAATGGTGGAGGAGAGATTTCAGTTGGTCTGACTCTAGCATCCATGCTCTTCATTACTGTAATGGACTCCCTCAAAACCAGGAGTAAACAAATCAATAAGTCATTAAAATCTAGTGTCAGGAGACCTCTGCTTCCATTCAAGATGAACTGTCAGAGACTGGATTTGCCATTGCTACTGAAACAACTAAAAAAAAAAGAGACAAAATACAGTAAATAATAGCTTTCATAACACTGGACATCAGGCAATGAAGAAGGGTGATCCCTGAGAGACGGGAAAGAGATGAGTCCTATGATTGCCTGCTTCCTGCCTTGAGAGACTTTACTTTCCAGGCTGCAATGCAGGGATGGGGAACTGCCTGATAGACTTGCTGGGTTGAGGAGACAGAGCTGAGATCAATGTGTCTAGACTTTGCAGGACAGAATAGAGAGCAGAGAGCAGCACAGAGGAAGAATTCAGAAACTTTCAGAGGGTCCCCCATGATTACTCAGCAGAGTATGGACAGAGCATGTGTGTGAAGAACCTATCCAAGTTTGGAAGGAAAAAAGCTATCTGAAAGGCTTAGAGAGCAGTGCCTGTTTCCACTGGCCAGATTAGAAAAACTTGTAATTCCCCACGCATTGGGTACAAAACTAAAGAAGTTCTCTTAGTAGTGGGTCATAATTAGCCCTAGATGGAGCCCAGACTTGCCTAATAAGTCATAAAAGCAATACCTAAAAGGATTAAAGTTTCTAAGTAATTAACTGCATCCTAACGCAAAGGGTAAGAATGTAAGGAATACAGAATATCCAGCACCTAATAAGGTAAAATCACAATGTCTGACATCCAAGCAAAGATTATCAGACACACCAAAACAAGAAAACACAATCCAAAATGGAGAGAATGATCAGCCAATCAAAACTGATCCAGAACTGACCCAGTTGTTAGAATTTGCAGATAAGGACATAAAACCAGTTATTATACTGTATTCCATACATTCAAAAAGTAAAGCTATGAAAGATATAAAAAGACACAAATCAAATTTCTAGAGTGAAAATTATAATGTCTGAGATGCAAAGTTCAGTCAGTGGTATTATTGGCAAGTTGGATATGGCAGAAGGAAAGGTTAGTGAACTAGAAGAAATAGCAAAGAAATCTGACATGAAACAGAGAAAAAAGAATCACAAAAAGAGCATCAGTGGACTGTGGGATGCCTTCATGTAGCTTAATATAAATTTAAATGGAGTCCCTGATAAGGTAAGAAGAGCAGAAAAATACTTGGAAAGGCCATAAGTTTTCCAAATTCGAGGAAAACCATAAACCAAAGATTCAACAATGAACCCTAAATATAAGAAAGATGAAGAAATCTATACCAAAGGACATCAAAATCAACTTGCTTAAAACCAATGATAAGGAAAAAAATTCCTAAAAGCAGCCAGAGAAAAAAAGGATACATTATGTGCAGGGGAACAAAAACAGGGATGACAGATGATTTCTCACTGGAAACAATGTGAGTGAGAAGTAGTGGAGTGACATCACTGAAGTAGTGAAAGAAACAATTATCAACTTGAAATTTTATACCTAGTGAAACTATATTTCAAAAACCAACACAAAAAAAGAAAGTTGAAAGAATTCATCAGCAGCAGACCCAAGTTACAAGAAATGTTAAATTCTTCAGGCAGAAAGAAAAAATGTCACCAAATGTAAATATGAAGAAAGAAGAGGACCGAAAAGAACAACTTCATGGGGTAAGTATATGAGTTTTTCTTATTGTTTCAAACCTATTACAGGATAATGAAAGTAACTTCAAAAAATAACAATGTGTATTATACAGAGTTTATAAAACATATATAAGCAAATGTATGACAACAATAACTTAAATTCTGGGAGAGGAGAAAAGAAGTATGCTGTTGTAAGGCTCTTATACTACATATAAAATAGTATAATATCACTTCAAGATATAATAAATTAAAGATGTACAATATAAGCACCAAATAACTGGAAAGAGAGACACTGTTCGGGAGACTCAAAATTATTAAGATGTCAGTTCTCCCCAATCCAATTCAAAATAACCCCACCATTTTAGGTCAAGGTATAAATTATAGGGAGACTGTGCTTTAGCATCACCAAGATTCCTGGTGAAGGACACTTGTGCATAGGTAATACAACCTCACACATTAGGGCAGCCAGCTGAAGAGAACGTGTAAAACCTAAATTTAGGTTTTTAGAAACCTGAATACTTCATAATGAAAACAACACAAATTAAGACATTGAGACCATAAAAAAATTAACAACCATCTCGCTGCCTCAACACAAAACAGCATTACATTTTTGATGGACTTTTTTTTTTTTAAGTAAGCATCTCCATTTTAAAATTGTTGTCGTTAACTGCATGGTGTTAAGAATAAGGATGTTATATCCAGAATACCAGTTTGAATTCCGCTTGTAATCACTTAGCAGCTATATGACCTAGGACAAGGTACTTAACTTTGTGCCTCCATTATCTCATCTAAAATATGATGGTATCAGCAGCTACACGTGTTTGTTGTAAGGATGAAATGGATTTTTATATGTTAAGCATTAAGAACAATGCCTGGCTCATGGCAAGCATTACAGAGCATATTATCATTATATTATAAAATATGACATATTTATAAAAGATAATAATAATAACACTTTGCATTTTCCCATGCTGTTTTATATATTTGGCATGCAGCTGGCTCTCAAAAAATTTATGAAAATAATTATGAAGTTTTAAATGGTAGTATTACATGGAGTAGACTTACCCTATTCTACTTAAGTATTTCCTTAAAATTAAATCTCACTGGTTGACTTTTTTCCCCTACAGATAAATTCCCAGAAGTGGGATTACTGGGTCACAGGGCATTACATTTTCAAGCTTGTTAGATTATACTACCTAATGCAGTCTAAAAAGTTCAACCACTTCGTAGGGCCATGGCCACAGGGGCATCAGTACATCTGACAACGGTGGGTAACACTATGAACAGGCGCCTGACTTAACAGGTGAAGCATAAGCCACTTCGGAGTTTTAATTTGACTGCTAGTGAGGTTGAACAGTTTTCTTTATGTTAAGTGATCAGCTTTTACTTCTTTTATTGTGAACCGACTGTTCATATCCTTTGTAAATTCTTCAGAGACCTCAAGTGTTTCTTAACAGTTTCGGTGAATTTTCTATGCAGCGGGTACCCCTGACTTTTGAAAGTTGGCATTATGCCACTTTGCTTTACGAAAGATCTACACTGGCACCTGTTTTCACTAACCAGAAGGAAACCTTAAGAGGATTTTCACTTTTATAAAAAAGGCAGAAAGTGAAGAGCATTCCCCGTTTGTTTTGCTGCGAGCCTTCACAGAGACAGTGCTTGCTGGGGTAGTGAGAGGGACCCGCAGCGCTTCTTCCCTGCGAGCTACACTCAGCACCTTGATGGCAAAGCTTCCAACTGTGTCGTGAGCATCTGTGCTTTATCTCTATTTATTCTGTGCATCGGTTAGCAAGGTATGGCCTCAGGTATCAGAAACGCCTGAGAGGTTATTTTTTGGACATAGGAATGCTCAAAATGTTTTCCATATAAATTAATTGTAATTGCTTCTTTGTTTTATGCCATTTTGGCCTATTAAAGTTTTCATAGGAACGCTCTACTTGTGGACAGCAGGGGAAGCCTGTAAATATTTTAGCCTTTTGTCATTTTTACAAACAATTTTCAGGTTGGTTTTTTGTTTTTGTTTTCCTTCTCTTTTGCAAATACAAGAAATTTTTGTGTCAAATCTTTTGATTCTATTCCTTTGCAATTTCTTGCATCACTTAAGCTTCTAGAAATCTTTCCCACTCTGTAAATTGGATAAATGTTCTATTTTCTTCAAGCTTTTCTAGGGCTGATTTGCTAACAGGGAGTGTGTAAGGCATCTGGCACTTACTTTGGTGTCACTGTGAGGTGAAGTATGGATGGTTCTATTTTCCAAGTAGCTATTCAAATTCCTCAATGCCATTATTGCAACATTTAAAAATTGCAGCAAAATTTGCATTCAAGAAGGCATGAACACCAGACGGAATGCTTTTCCTTTGCTGATGTTCTGTACAGGTACAAGGAGCCAGGGAGTGGGAGGAGGAGGATGAGGAAGAGTCACTGAAGAAAATACCTAAACAAAGGACAGTCCCTCAAAACTGGCTCAGCACCCTATTTGCAAGCAGGCTTGGGTAAGTGTAGCCAGTAAGGAAGTATGAAAAGGCACATGGAGCCTGAGGGGGGCTAAATAAAAATTCTACCCACTAAAGCTCATCCTTTAGATCACAACTTCGCTTGGGTAACGAGAAAGCTTGCAGGTTCCCTAGCATACTGGAATAAAAGGTGCTCATTCCTAGGACAGTAAGTAAAAAGAGAGAATATGGCTCACAGAATTAGAGAATCTTAGGCCTGCTGGGTATCTCCTGCATGTTTAAAAACTCAGGGAATGGATGGGACCCAGAGAAGTTAAATGAATTCCTATGTTTGCAGGGCTCTAATTTACAGTACCATGGGGTCTAGAACCAGAATCTAGGATCCAAAGTGTGCTTTCTTCCATCCCAAGTAGCTTCCTCCACATACTTTATATACATAAATCAGTAACTCTAGGGTTCAAGAAGAGCCATTTCTGAGTAATTTTCTTACCGAGCATGCAAAAGTGTGTATAGATGTAGTTGCACATGTACATTCCCACACTGGATGAACACTTACTCCCGCTCTACAATGTCCGGGCACTGGAGATACAGCAATGGCTTAGATAAGCTCCCTGGTCTCAGGAATGTGCAGTATTAGATGTACTGTGGAGCGCACATACTGCTTCGTATCCTAACTTTGCAATTACACAGCTTACTGGTTTACAGGGTGACGTATTTTGGGTCAAATTCAAACACTTCAAGACAGCTACAAAATGCAAGAGACCCTCCCCATGAGACCAAGAGCAGCAAGCCACAGCCCTTCGAAGGCCAAATGTAGCCTCTTGCTATTTATAAGTAAAGTTCTACTGGAACATTGCCACACCCATTCATTTTGTATTGTCTAAGGCTACTTTCCGATTCCAACGGCAGAGTTGAATAGTAGTGACAGAAACTGTGTGGCCTGAAAGCCTAAAATATTTACTATCTGGCCCTTAGAAAAAAAACAAAAACAACTTAGTAGTGCCCCTGGCTGAAAACCTATAAAATAGGTTTTAACTTCATTTCCTCATAGCAGTGTTAAAGGCTTCTACTGTATTAAAAAGGAGACTTCTTTAATGCGTGTCCCTCTTGGCTCTCTGTGCTAACAAAGAAGAACATTCTTCTCCGGTGGACAAGGAGCCCCACTGCCCAGGGGGAAGGAGGCTGGCGCTGCGCTCTCCGTGGCAATTAGGAGGTGAGTGTCTGTGCTGCCTGCTTGTGAATGTGAAGTGTCCGTTGATGACAATTAAATGATTCTAAGTCCAATTTTTTCCCCAGCCATTACAGTTTCTAGGGTCTCCCTAACATGGGGCAGTGGTCGTGGGACTGTGGTGGGGGGGGGAGCAGGAAGGTTCTCGGTGGGTTTAGGCATACTCGGGTTGAAGAGAGTTGGAAGAATGGGAACGTAGCAGAAAAGAGGAGAAAAGCACCTGAAAAAGCCAGTGGAAATGGAAGAGAAACTGGCCTTTCCCTCCATTAGCCGCTCCAGAAGTGCTGAATTTAATCTGTCTTCCGTGTGGGTTTCCCAGCTCACCTGCTGCTCACAGCGCTAATGTGGCCACGGTCACACAACCGAGCGTAAGAATGGCCCCTCCTCACTGCGGGTGATGGCTCTCTGCAGACCTCCCACCCAGAGCCGCTTGACTTACTGATGAAAACAAGCTTTTATTGCTGTTGGCACTGTGGCCCAGGGTGGCCGGTAAAGCGCAGAGAGATCCTTCTCTAGTCAGCACAAGTGTCTGGGAAATTCCGCTCCCCAGATCCTTCCAGCCCAGGATGCGAAGGGCTGACCCGAAACCCAGCGGGCAGTCAGCAACATCAGCCCATAATTTGTAAGCACCGCAAAATGCAGGGGGAGCTCCTCCTCATTCTCAATGACTCCACGCTGGTGTCATTTGTCACCATCACTTGGGAGAGGACAATCGTGTGGAGAAGTCAAAATGTTAACCTCATCAAATGCAAGAAGTTCACCAGAATGGCAAGAGCCTTGAATGCAAGGCGAGCACTGGCAAAGCCTTGGCCGTGGCCGAAAGAGTGTGGTGGTTACTTCAGGAGACTGCTTTGCCCCTGAGCGGACTGGCTATGCATCGTTAGGGAGAATGTCAGGCCTGCAGTTTCACGGGAGAACAGCAGAGCCTGCAGAATTAGGTGCCCTGGCACAACAAAACAGAGAGGCTCAAACCTCTGCCGAGTGTTGCGAGGGGCTGACAAAACATTCATGATACAGAGACAGGCTCTAGGATGAAACTAGTTCTGGTCTTTCTGGAGTCACTGCCCAGTTGAGGAGCTTGGACACAAAGCCTCACCTCTGTGAAGCCTCACTTGCTGCACCTACGTAGTGTACTAACAGTAGGCTCAGCCTTAAGCAGCTGGTACGAGGCTTACATGGACCCAGCACACACAGGTGCAAGCCTGGGGGTGTGGTAAGAGCTTGTGGATGGCTACCTGTGATGAAGATGGTCAGGGTGAGGACCAAGCAGGTGGCTCAGCCCCTCTCAACTGCACCTGAACCTGGTAGTCTTTTGCATCAGCATGGCGCAAGCTGTGCGAGGTGATGGCATCATGGCCACAGGGCAACATGCTATCCTGCAAAAGTCCTTTCGAGGAAGGAAATGTCAGTGTCGCAGGGCAAGGACACTCCTGTCAGGTGGGCAGGCGCTCTATGTGGCCAGGGATGGACAGACAGGTGAGAGGGACCCACAGGGATGGTCACCTGTGTGCTTGGTACCAATGTGAGCCTTTATCTCTGCTTCCTCCATGGTGACGAAGTCACAGGTGGTGCAGCAGATCGAAAACATCCACTGCTCCTTGTCCACGTGGAGTGACATGTGGCTGACAAACTGGACATTGAGCTCGGTCTCAAATCCACACACGTGACAGCTATATGAGAGGATGAAAGGAAAGAGGGAGAGAGGAGTGGTTACGTCTACATGCAGGCTATCCAGCTATATAAAGACTCCAAACATGCTCAGGAAAACTGGACTTTCACACACTTCTTCCTTCTACCAAAAGGTTCTGCATCAGAAAATTCTTCTGCTTTCTGGAATGCCTCAGAAGTGGTCACCATGCCAGGTGGATTAAGTGCTAGTATAATGTAACAATCCCATACATGCTATAATGATGTGAAGTAATCATAAAGTTAATTTAAAATTACAGATTCCAGATGCTGCACATCACCTAACCGATTCCTTTGCGCAAAGAGATGGCGTGCAGCCTTGCCAAGATATGTGCAGTACTGCACACTGATAAACTCAGAGCACCCCTGCATCCCAGTGAGTCCCCCTCTGGCTCTGGGAACTTGCCGTGCAGGAAAGAAAGCACATGCATGTCATTGGGTGGCACTCCAAACCGAGCAAGCCCTGTCTGTGACAATTCCTGTTAGAAGCCACCCATTCAAGGAGACATTTCATGCAAAAGCAAGTTTCCACCAATCTCTCCAGCCTATTTCTTGGCAAGATTCCTCAGAGCCTGAAATTTGGGATTTTATAACAACCCAGCCAACACTGATTCATGGTTGAATATGGAACAGAAACGTGGAACTCCAGGTACTTGAGGACAACAGGACCTGGGAAATATGCAGTGCCTCAGGACTCTCTACACAGGGTTCTCAGATTTATTTTTCCAAGTCTTTTTTTCCCTTAGTATAATTCTCAGGAAGCAGTGAGGTGCTCAGGCACCGAGGTGGGAGTGTCTTAGCTGCCCAGGCCCAAAAACTAAGTCCCCAGAGCCCTGCCACTCCGTGGAGCTCCACCCCAGGGAGCCGTCTCCCAGGCCACTCTCTTCGGTCAATTCCAGTAACACCACCGGAGCTGAGAGGAGGCAGTGCACGTGCATACGGGGTTCAATCCAAGCAAAGCAAGTACAGAAATGCACGTGAGCGCTGCGGCGGAGAGCAGGCGCCTTGGCATATACGCCGCAGCAGACGGAGGAGTGTTCAAGGAAGTTTGGGGAAGCTGGACTAGCGGGGTCCATTTGCAGCTCACCTGTAGTAATAAGGGTGCTTCTTCCCGTCACTGCCTTCAGAGGTGACGGCGCTGACAATGTCTTCAGTGTCCGTACTCACCAGCTTCACTGAATGGACAGTCAGGTGCTGGTTGAGGTTTGCGCGGCACTTAGCAGCATAGGGGCACAAGTGGCATTTGTATTTTCTTTCCTCTGGGGGAGAAGGAACAGGGAAAAACCCAAACAGCTCTCAAAAATAAAATCCCAGCACTTTGCAAGAGACCATGTAAAGGTATCAAGGAGAGGAGGGTTCAAACTTCATCTCACATGGAGACAAAGGGAACACCTTGGGATTGTAAATCTCTAAAAAAGCCTTTACCCAGCAGGTCACTCCTGTATTAATACTTTCAAAGATAAAGTCCCAGCGTAACTGGATCATCTGCTTTTTCCTGGACACCCACAGGCCCCTCTTCCTGATAAGATGAGCCTCAGAGGGGTTAAAAGAATACTGTGCAGCTGCAGGGGGATGGCTGGGTAAGGGGCGGGGGGCTCCGTGTGTCAGTCCAGGGCGGGAGCTTCGCTGGGGGAGGGCAGTCAACACAGCATTCACAGGACTGGTGTAGGATCAGCCCCACCATTTTCCCGAAGCTCCAGGCCTGGGGCAGCCAGGAAATAAAACCCTAATGAAATAAGGGGGAAAATATGACTCACGTGGAATCATTTTAATTGGACTTTTTCATTTAACATAAATAAAATTAAAAATTTCAATTAATTTCTTAATGAAAACCCTTTCATAAAACTGACAGTGTTTCATGACTGTTCCAGAGTGGCACTCTGAATTCATTTGATTAATCAAGCAAATTAAACAAAAGGAGCAGGCGTTGCCTCCAGTGTATGGATAAGGGTCCAAGAGTAGCAGAAGGAAAGAGCAACTTCATTTTCTTTTCTTAATTCTCACTATGTATTAGGGGACTTGCCTTTAAAAAATACCCATCTTACATCTTATCTACTTCAGAGGGAAGAACAAGTTAGAAAGTTTTCCTATACCAAAATGTAAAACAGCATTTCAGTACAGCTGGTCCCCAACATCTGAAGTGCTGGGTGACCTGCAGCTCAGCAGGGCTGGGGAGAACCCCACTGTGCAGATGAAATACCTTTCTTTCTTCTGGGGGAGAAGGAACTTCATTTGCTGCACTGATTTAGTTACTGTTTATTCCTCCTTTATCCCTCTTAACTTGGTTGCTTCCCCTTTCCCAACACACAGAATCAACCATATTCTGTACTTTATTATAGTAAATAAAGTAAATAAAGATAGCAGCTGTTTCTCTACCAAGGTTTCTGGTGCCCCTGTAATTCCCATTAACCACCGTGAAATGAAACCAGTGAGATGGGGTGCAGACCCACCCCTGCACCCTCAAGCTGAGAGCAATACCTGGCACAGAGTTCAGGAATTGTACCTGCATATGCCTAAATGTGTATCTTTTCTCATCAATCTTACTTGAACTCAATGAACCCTTCAATATAAAAAGCCCTTCCAGGGACATATTTGAACATCTAGGTAAAATGACTTCAGAAGGTCAAGATAAGAACATTTCCACTACTCCCGTTATAATTCTCTTGGAGAAACTCTCTCTTAGTAACAGAGAAGCTGGTGATCCAGGGTGCAGAAGGCAGAGCGGTGAGGCCCTGACTCACCTGTGTGCAGCGAGAGATGTCGCGACAACGTCTGCTGTCGGCCGAATACCTTCCCACACACGTCACAGGGAAAAAGCTGGTCGTTGAATTTCCAGGATGGCAATCCATTTCCTGCCTCTAGCACTATCTTTTCTGTTTCTGGGCCAAGAAAGCAGAACATCAGGAGGGATAAGCAAGACATCACAAACAAACTGCACGTTAAGTCAGTATTCAGGATGTAAGCAGACTTCCTTCTGAAGAACATGGCTGGTAGCGGCAGGTACGTCCCGGCCTTAAGCTCACTTCCTGTCCCTTAGGAGGCTGTTCTTGAAGGTTGTGACGGCCAATGGATTCCATGCTAGCCAAGGTCTCCCGTGTTCTCTCTTTCATCACTAAAGGTCAGCCGACCTGAGCCTCAGCAGGCCGACAGCATGGTTTAGCACTGCCTGGTATATAGTCGGTACTCAATAAATAACTTGTTGAATGAATGCATGAATGGCTGAGTTGCATGTTAAAATTCCAGAGATGTAGACTCTTGTCACAAGACAGTGAATGAAGAATCTCAGATTCTGGTGTGAA